TGCATTATTATTGAAAACACATTAAACTAAATAGCTAGAAGTCAATGTAAGTAATACAAAGACCAAGGAAACTATAAAACTAATTTTAACTCTTGTATTTTATCTGTATTTTCCAGCAATTTGAATTCAAGGTATTAATCTCATATAGACTGGCAAAAACAATTCATCCTTTTCTATGCTTTAATAGATAGTCTTTGTCCCCAAGCTAAGATGCAGTTTACTACAGAAAGAACAAGTGGAGTCAAAGGTACTGAACTAAAATCCAGGTTTGGCTACCTAATATAATTATAGATGTGACTCTGGACAAGAAAATTCCCCTCTCTGAGCCTCAATTTGCTCCTCTATATATCAGGGAATTGAACAAGATGACCTTTAACGTCCTATCCAGTTCTATATATAAGACTCTTCTATCTCATTCCTTTATTTGCTAAAAACCTTGTAGGAAAAACCAAGTACATTTATTATCTCCACACTTTATTGTCCAATTCACTTTTAAATTTTTTGCAATTGGGTTTTCTATTTCAATCATCTGTTCAAATAAGGGGGGGGAGCAGTAAGGGCCAGTTTATTCAATTCTAATTTTTGTTCCATCAAAAAAGAAAAATATCCAAAATTTAAAAATGCACAACACGCTGAAGAAGGAAACAAAGTTCCGGTTAGGTCAAAAAGATTTATGGAAGCACTTGTGTGAAGCAAGATTTATGGAAGCACAAGTGAACTAAAATCTTTAACCAAAGAATTCTATTTCATAGAACTTGCTCAAATGATCAAGAATCATAACCACTAATGTTGGAAAAACCATGGGGAATTATAAAGCTATCAAATAACCTGGTTTTCAAATGAGGAGAAAAAATTAAGACTAGAAAACTTAATGCTCATCCTCAACAAAATTCAATAATAGATTATCTGTCTGGATTCACTAAGGACAAATCACTTTCTCTCCTATCTCAAGGATTTTAGAATCGGGTTCTCTGAGAAGAGGTCAACTGCTTTATATGATCTCATCTCATACTATCTTGCCCAAAAAAATCTCCACCCAATCATTCCTCCTCTCTACAGCCAATCTTCAAGCCCCCTCTATCACACTGACTCTTTATCTACTAACCTCAAATACACCAAGTCTCCCCTAATCGTTTGAAAAAACACACACAAAATTCATTATACCCTACTATCGTCTCAAGCTATTGCCTACTTCTCCTTGTTTTCACAGGTAACTTTCTAAAAAATTCATCTCACTCCCTGCCTCTACTTTGCTACCTTTCATTCATTCCTTAATCCTTGACAACCTGGCTTCAGACTTCACCATTAATTCAACTAAAACTAAAGTTACCTTCAGCAAAGTCATAAAGTATATTGTAAAATAAGTCTTCATAGGCAAGTCTTAAATTTAACCAATAGGAAGACTTTAGAGGAAAGCAGGAGAGAGGCAGCTTCAAAAAAAAGTAGGACAGAGATCTGATTTTAGCAACTTAAAAAATGAATAAGTAGTAAGGAAATGGAGACGGCAAGTATACACTACATTTTCTAAAATATTAGAAATAAAGATGTAAGAAATAGAATAAGTTTAGGGGATAGCACAGAAGGTTTTTATTTTTAAAGAAAGGAAAAATCTGAGTGTTTTTGTAGACAGAGAAGCCAATGGAGTAGTGGGAGAAAAAGAAGTAAAGAATGAAATCAAGACTAACCAATGGAATATTATACTGGAAGAAATATGAGGAATTGGGATTAAGGAAACAGATGCAGAAATTAATGTTGGAAGAGAGGAGGATCTTCTCACTCTTTAAGATTAAAGAGAGAAAAAAGTGACTAGGATGAGACAGAAATGGTGAGAATCAGAGGAAAGAATAAAGAATCAATCTATAGATGAAGGAATTGCAAAGCAAATAATGGAGGGGAAAGTACAAATAAAAGGTATCCAATATTACTGTATCTCAATTTATACTGTATAACAGGAATCATCAAAACTACTGATATTTAGGTACTTATCTAAAAACAGAAAACAGAAAAGGTGATCAACAGAACAGATTAGATAAACAAAAGACAGCTAGGTGGCTCAGTAAACAGTGCACTGGACTTCAGAAGACCTGTGTTCCAGCATGATAAATACAGAAATATGTTTTCTACATGTATAACCTGTACCAAATTGTTTACCATCTCAGAGAGTAAGGAGGGGAGGGAAGGAGAGACCTTGGAAATCAAAATTTTAAAAAACAGACTGGTAAAGGTGACCAAAGAGGAAAATAAAAATTGTTGGAAGGGTTATGAGAGGACAGGGGTATTAATGAACTATAGGTGGAGCAATGAACTGATTCAACAATTTTAGAAATCAATTTGAACTAGATCTTAAAATTTTCTAAACTACACAAGGCCTCTGACCAAGTAATATCACCACTAGGCATTTACCCTAAAGAAATAAGAAATAAAGAAAAGAATACATATATAAAAATATTCCTATCACAGCAATTTTTGTTGTAGCAAAGAACTGCCTGATTAGAATCACTGAAAAAATATCATATGCAGAGAATGATGAAAGAGACAAGTTTCAGAGAAACCTGGAAAGACTTGTATGAACTGATGCAGAGTGAAATAAGTAGAACCAGGAAAACTTATACAAGAACTACAACATTGTAAGGGAAAACAATTTTGAAAGAGTTATGAACTATGAACTACTATGAACAATGACCATGACAACACTAGATATTTGAACAAGTATCAACTGAAAGAAAAACAAAGAAACAGACATACAGAATAAGGCCATAAATTTTCAAGTATCAAATCTAAATGATCAAATGAGGTAATATTTGTAAAACATTTGGTACAATGCCTAACACATCGTAGCTACTTAATAAAATGCTTGCTCCATTAAAGCATTATTGATGGAGTTGTGAACTCATCCAACCATTTTGGAGAGCAATTTGGAACCCCAAAGGGCTACAAAACTGGGCATACCCTTTGATCCAGCAATACTACTACTAGCTCTATATCCCAAAGAGGTCATAAAAGGGGGAAATGAGCTATATGTACAAAAATATTTATAGCAGTTCTTTTTGTGGTGACAAAGAATTGGAAACTGAGGAGATGCCCATCAACCGGGGAATGGCTAAACAAGCTGTGGTATATGAATGTAACAGAATACTATTGTGCTATAAGAAATGATGAGCAGGCACCTGGGAAGACTCCAAAAGTCTCATGATCTAAGACAATGACAAAAAACTCATGATGGAAAATGCTATCCATACCAAGACAAAAAACTATGGAGTGTGAATGCAGATTGAAGCATACTATTTTGTTTTTTTCTGTAGTTTTTTCCTTTCGTGGTTTTCCCCTTTTGTTCTGATTCTTCTTTCACAACATGACTAATATGGAAATGTTTAATATAATTGTATATGTATAGCCTATATCAGATTGCTTGCTGCCTTGGGGAGGAGAGAGAAAAAAATTTGTAACTCAAAATCTCATAATAGTGAATGTTGAAAATTATCTTTACATTTAATTGTAAAAAATAAAATACTATCAAGTGGGGGAAAAATTAAAAAATATAAGATGTTTGTTTTCACCCTTTAGACACAGTAAATGAAAGTAATTATTTTGCTTATCTACACTTATTTGTTACAAGGAAGGGTACTAGGGGACAGAGAGAGTGGGAAGGTAGTAATAGACACACCAAAAGAAAGAAAAAAGCATCAATGAAATATTTTTATGATATACAAAAATAGCTAAGAATGGGACCTAGACAAACAGAGTTTGCTGATCTTTTTTTTTTTTTGTAAAACAAGCCCTTATATTCAAGGTACTTACGTACCATCTTTCAAATTTTTCAACCCCTACAGGAAGTATCTCTGATAAAGGCTTCATTTCTCAAATACAGAGAAAAGGGAGTCAAAGTCATTCCCCAACTGATAAATGGGCAAAGGATATAAAAAGGCAATTTTCAGATGAAGAAATCAAAGCTATCTATCTATAGTCGTATGGAAAAAATGCTCTAAATCACTTTTGATTAAAAAAATACAAATTAAAATAACTCTGAGGTATCACCCCTCACACATATTGGCTAATATGACAGAAAAGGAAAATTATAAATGTTAGGAGATAAGGGAAAATTGGGACACTAATGCACTGTGTGCATACCTGTGAACTGATCCAACTATTCTGAAGGGCAATTTGAAATTATCCCCAAAGGGCTATAAAACTGGGCATACCCTTTGATCCTGCAATGCCACTATTAGATCTGTATGCCAAAGAGATTTGAAAAAAAAAAGAAAAGAACCCATATATGTTATTAAAGAGGCAGAATTTTAACTAGACCTTGAAGGATGGTTATGAATTTGATAGGCAGAAGGCACATTCCAATCAGAAGGAATGAAAAAAACAAATTAGGGCCAAATTATGGAAGACCTTGATTTAAAAGCTAGATTACATAATGAGACAAGTCAAAATTATCGAGCCACATTGAAGTTTTTTTAAAGTTGAAGTTCTGAAGTTCTGACAGGCTCAGACCTGTGGTTTAGGACAATTAATCTGCCAGTGATATGGAGGATGAATTAAAAAGGAGAAGGACAAGAAGCTGAGAGAATATTGCAATTGTCCAGGTGAGAGGTAAAAGCTTCAATTAAATTGGTAGCATCAAGAGAAAAGAAGCTGCCCACATCAAAAACCATATATTCATCGTTTAATACCACATATTGATCTATATTAAATCATTATCTCTGAAGGAAATCAGAATCCAATTCTTGTAGAAAATCTCTCTAGATTTCTGGGTATATTGCTGATTCAATGTCAAGAATCTGAGCCAGCACTTCCTGCTGCCTTCTAGCAAGCTCACTGCTTTTAATTCTCCTTCCACCAGTTTCTAAAATCCTCTGTACATTCATAATTTACATATGGCAAGCAAGTAGCTCTGGAACTGAAACAGTAATAACTGCTGAAATATCTGTCGACTTAATGGGCCAAGAAACGTAAAATATCTTAAAAGGTCATGCACAAAAATATGTTTACGATACCTTAGGGGGATTAAATGGATATGTTTCTGGTATTTTTATCTCTAGTTGGTATCTTCCTCCTAAAAAAAATTAAGAAGTTACGAATATTAAATCAAATAAATTTCCATAAATACTTAAAATCATAAGTTTACATTTGACCACAAGTTGGTTTGAATAAAACAAACCTAAAAGCTCAAAAAGCAATGCTTTAAAAAAAAAAAAGGTGAGACTTATTTTGATTAAAATTTAAAGCAGACACTACCCACACCATTCAACATAGAAATCATACATATAGTGACCTATTAGCTATTATAATCAAAACCAAGATAACATGGACAAACTAAATAACCAACAAACCCCACCGCCACCCATACACACACACACACACACACACACACACACACACACACAATGAAGCCTATTGTTCTAAGTGATCTTTCTATTAGAACTGCCATTAGGTAAAGTGATTCATCTAAATTTAATCTACTTTTATTTCTCCAGCATTCTTTTTGGTAACTGCTAAATGAAGAGTAAAAATAGAAAAATTGAAAGGCAAAGGAAGAAAAGTAGTAGCTAATACTCAAATTGAACATTTTCACTTAACTTGAATTCAACTGTCAAAGATTTTAGTTAAAATGTGTGCTATGAAAAATAAACTTTAAGTGAAATGACATAATCAGCATAAAAAAAGCTGTCCAAAAGAGTGTTTACCTCAGTACCTTATAAACAGAAGACAGCCACCTCCCCACTGATTTACTATGCCCCAAGAACAAAGTTCCTCTAAACACACGACAGAAGAGAAGTAGTCATATTATATGGGATAGAGTTATCGCCTATACTTTGATTTTTATAATGTACTCCCTGTACTGACTCAGATACTGCATTAGAGGACTTCCTCTAAGGATCTCATCACTAACTTTAGGATGCTATTATCAATTACTATTCACAAACCAAGGCTCGGAAAAATATAAAACTGTACTAAAGTGAACATGAGCTCCCCAAAACCATGGGCACAGAGCTATAAAAAACAACCAAAACAGTGGTCTGTACCAAACACAAAATCTTTTCCACTACCATTATTTTGGGTCACTGAGTAAGGGAATAGGAAAGGAAAGCTGCTTTCTTCCTAACTTTTTCTAGACTATTTCTCCTTTCCCTGCTAACTTTCTGATGCTGTCCCATCAGGTGCCAAACCACTCATGAGCCAGCAGAACTCACCTATGATAGTGTATATATGATAGTATGAAGAAAAAAAAGTGGTCAAAGTAAAAGAAAAAGAATAAGATTTTAAGAAATTTCATAAATATGGAAAAAACATGCAGATTAAAAAAACTGGCAAAACTAAATTGGTCCTTAAGAGATGTTTGTAACAGACTGATCCCTTTTTTCTTATTTCAAAGATCCTATTATCATTTCATTAAATTCATCTCCATCTTCCATACAAAGTGTATCTTCATATAATAGAATATTTAAGACAAGCCTTATTGCACCCTTGAGCTCTCAAATCATCATTTCTAATATACTGAACATATGACCAGCATATCTAATTCTACTGTATTAAAACTTCAAATTCAGGACAAAGCAATAAATATAATTATAGAGACATCATTTTAAAAGCAAAAAATTAGAAGATTATCACATCAGGGAAATACAAAAATATCCCCTATGATCTCTGTTATTCATACTACTCCTAATGCCCGGCATAAAGTAAATTGTTTCATGATTTTAGCACTGAAATTATACATGCTTGATCTCAATCACAATCAAAGTCAGGAAAATGACTCTGAAGAATGAGGAAGAAGTTCCTAAAAATGTTGTTACTATTTTTAAGAAGCAAAAGTACTACCCACAATTTTAAAAGAACAACAATGCAGCCCTTACAAAATCAAACTGGAAAAGAAATAGTTCCTGATTATGGGATTATAAAATTCAAAAGATATTTAAGAAATCATTAGCAATTTATACAATTATTCTGTAGTTTAGAATTTTATAATATTCATAAATATATAGAAACTTCCTTGCTATTCTACTTACTACAAGATGGTTTGCGATAGTTTGCTCTCACCTGACAACTCCCATATTAACACCTACCTACATCAGCCCTTCAAAAATAATACCCCTCCAAAAAAAATTACAGGAGTTAAAAAACTAAATATTTTACACATGTTAAACTTTTCATGTAGAAGGACCTATGTTTATAAACTCATGTATTTTATTTAGAATCGGAAAAGTTAAATTTTTTATTTTATCATCTTTATGATAAAAATAAAACACTTTCCAAGTTCACCTATCTTAACTACAGCCAATATGGATGGAAATATATCAATAATGCCCATCAGTTCAAAAACTAATAATCTCATTTGAAGCACTAAGCTAAATCAGTGCTCATTTTTCATTTTTTCCTTGCCTTACACCTTAGTTTTTCAAAGATATATATTTCCAAACTCTACAATAAGAAAAAGCATGGTAATTTATAACTTAGTCACCTTAGAGCTAAAAATGTATCCAAATAAAAAAGATGTAATTGAGATAATGGATACAATATTTGTTCTTGTAAATGAAATTAGGACCTGCCCCTACTACAATATCAATAAGTTAAAAAGGACATATTTCAATCATCTGCCTTTGAGCAAATATATGTCTAATCTATATCAATTATAACCCAAGGCAGCTACAGATTTTATTTATTTAAGTATTACAGATTGCCAGTGAAGTTGTGTCTAGTAAGAAGGATATCACATCTAACGGCGTATTCCCCATGATGATGCATGGTATTGAGAACTTATCATGAATTCTACAGTAGACATTTGTAAGTTATAATTGGTAACAGTTAAAAAGGAAATCTTAAGAGACCTCCAAACTGCCAAGTATTATTCTATAATATTAGCTTTCCTGAAATACTAGTTTTTTTAAGCACAATTACATCATACTCTATAAAAATGTTATAATTACTATAATATTCATAATAGGTATGAATATATACATTCTCAATCCTTGATAATCTGAGTTCAATCTAACAAACATTTTCTGGGCAATTTATAGATAATTAAAGCATTGTGCTGTAGATCTGAGTGGAATATGATAAAAAATAAGTTCCAAAACAATAATTTTTTTAAAAAATCATGTGAATGGTTTTTAAAACGTTTTTGTTTTCCACTACAATCATTCTTATGCCTCAAAGTAGTATGGAATTGACCCTGTGTTCCTGAAGATTAATTCAACCTCTGGCAGGTCCTATTAAGTTACAAAAAGTTCTACTAAGAAAGAAACAGCACAGTCTAAACTGAGGACATGTTGAAAGGATGCAGCACGGTAGCCTGGAAAAAGCATTAGATCTGCAATATGTTAGGCCTATTTCCTCGTTTGTAAAACTTGGGGATTAGAATAGACGATCAGTAAGGTCTCTGCTAGCTCCAAATTCTATGATTCTGCAAGCAGCTTAGTTACAAAATGATCCCTAAATGAATGCCCAAGTGAAGACTTTTACCCATAGCACCTCATCACACTATCTGTTATGGTATAAATGTTTGTTGTCTGTTTGGGAGTACCCAAACCAGTGCAATCTTTTGAAGCACTAAAGAAAATTTGTCAATTAAATTTGAATGCGGTTGCCTAATGTTACAGAAAGAATCCTTAACATTTTATCTTCATCATTAAAATCTTTTACTATTGGGGCAGCTAGGTGGTGCAGTGGATAGAGCTCCGGCCTTGGAGTCAGGAGGACCTGAGTTCAAATGCGACATCAGACTTGATACTTATTAGCTGTGTGACCCTGAGCAGGTCACTTAACCCCCACTGCCTCACAAAAAAAAAAACCTTTTACTATCAAAGTCTAAATATAATGACCCTATATTCAACACTTCAAGTGCTAAATAAACAGCAGACAAATTAACTAAAAGGACCACTTTGATTACAGAGTTCTACCTTCTCTCTTCAAACTTCTCATTCATAACTTCTCTGTAGCACAGAAAAATAAAATGTTTCATTTTCAACAGACTTCTCTTCCAGATTATAAACTATGTGCATAAAAAAAGATTGCTAAATGTCAAAAATGGTTTAAATGAAAATGATGTAAATAAAATTGAAAGCAAGACACATCACAGATGCCAAGTGAATAATAAGGATGTCTATACTTTATGAGATAGGGATTTGTATATATCTTATACAATCATCTGTAAAATATAACTATAGCTCTGCTAAATCTTGCTCACATAAACAGAAAAAATATAACTGCTAAATCTTATTTACTTAAATATAAAAAATATACCTAGGTTCAAAGAGAAGAAAAAAAATCTAGTCTAGATAAATAGCATTCAAATAAAAATGTCAAATTACATTATGTAAAACAATTAAATTACTATCAACTTAAGTAAACAAAAGCTAACAGTGAAAAAAAAATTTTTAAATCAATGTGATCTATAGCTTTATCATGACAAACCCTACTTTACAAAATATTTTACACAAAAATATACTACTTGCCTTCATATGGTGTGTCTGGAGGTCCCGCTATTTCTCCTCTTAATTCTGTAAAGTTTTCATCTACAAGATCTACTTTAATTTGATTTTTGCTCGTCTTAAAAATAAACAGAAAAAAAATTAGTTAAGTAAGCAACAAATAAACATCTATTTTTTTAAATGCCACAGTTTTTATTCTTTAAAGCATTTTCTACAATTGTTTAAAAAACTTTCTGCAAATTAAAATTCTCAGTGAAGTGTTACAACCCTTTTCCAAAGTATAAATTTTATGCAAGTAAAAAGTGATTTAATTTCTTAGTACCTTTAAGCAGTGGAGTTAAGGTGAGTGACAGAAGAGCTTAGCCCATCATCACTGGGAAGGGGAGGGTAGGTCTAAGTGTTCAAATGAAGCTAAGAATATCATCCCACAGAAAAAGGAGGATGAAGAGGGGAAACAGGCAGTCAGACAGTCTAACTTAGAAGTGGAAAGGAAGAAAGAACACAATGAACGGTTGTGGAGGAGCAGCTTCCACTTAACCGAGGCTCCTGCTGGGCCCACTTGAAAGGATACTTAACCATATAAAAAGGTCACGTTATTTTTTTTTCCACATTTTTTCTTAAAATAGTAGGAGGAAAATGGGTGGAACTATCTCAAGGAAAGAATTCCTAATCAAACAATCGAACAGAAGTGATCACAAAAGACAATTTCAAGTTTATGAAATTGCAAAATCATTTGCACAAACAAAATGAATGCAGCTAGGAGAAGATAAAATTGTGGACTAAGGAAAAAAATCCTTGCATCAAATATCTATGCTATAAGGATCTGACATACAAGATATACCTGAAGTAACACAAATAGACAAGGAGCACAATGGATAAGGGGTCAGAAGACCACAACAAAGACTACTCAAAAGGAGAAATGTAAATTATCAAGAACCATATGAAAGACTACTCCCAAGTCACTAAGAGAAACACATAAAAACAATTCTGAGGTTTCAGCTCACACAAGCACTGGACACTTTATAGCCATATATAGAATCCTAGGCAAGTCACTTAACCTGTCTAAGGCTGTTTCCTTGTATATAGAATGAAGGTCAACACCTTCATTAGATGGCTTAGATGGCTTCTGATCTTCCTAATCTGGTAAACTCAAAACTTCCCACTATTTCAGCAAAAACACCCTTCATTTGACATACTGTCTCCCTTAAACTACTGTACACTGACTATTCTCCCTTTCACTACAGGAAAAAACTTAGTAAAAATAACTATATGCCTTTTCTTGTCTCTCTTTCCTCTTCTCACTCATTTCTTAACACCTTTTATAATTTGGCTTGCTACCTCACTCAACCAAAATACCAATGATCTGAACGTGACCAAATCTGATGGCCCCTTCTCAGTCTTTATTCTTCTTGACCTCAATGAAGCACTTGACACTAATGACCTGGATGCACTCTCCTCTACAGGTTTTCATGGCAATGCTGTCTCATTTCATCTCCCACAAGTTGGGATGGCCCTTTTCATTCTTCTTGCTCTATCATCATCTATCATCCTGCTCCCCTAGGGTGCACACCAAAGGTCCTTGTCTTTTCTCTCTACACTCTCTCTTGTTGATCTCCTAAAATAGCTAGCATTTGTATAATATGTTAAAGTTGACAAAGCTTTTTACAAATATCTCATTTTACCCTTGCAATAACCTTGGGAGATAGGTACTGCTATTATCGCCATTCTACATAATGAGGAAACTGAGGCAAATAGAAGTTAAATGACTAATCCAGGGTCAAACAGCTCATTAGTTCCTTACTCTATGTCCAGAGCTCTATCTATTATGCTACCTAGCCACCTTAATATGAGTCCATTCATTCATTATCTTATGTAGGTTTCTCCTAGATGAATATAGTCAGCCCTAGTGTAGGTTCCAAATCTTCATCTACTATTGCCAATTGGACATTTACAAACAGATATGCCATAAACAACTCAAATTCAATACATTCAAAAAAGAACTCATCTGTCAAACAAAACTTACCCCCTCTTCCTACCACACAAAGCACCACTGTCCTTCTAGTAACCCAGATTCACAACTTCAGAGAGGATCTTGACTCTTCAATCTTACCAATTCTACTTTGACATCTCTTGCACCCCCCCCACCAATTCAAGATCTAATCACTTCATATCTAGACCACAGCAAAAGCCTTCTAATTTTTCTTCTTATCTCAAGTCTCTCCTCTATCCAATCCACCCTCCAATTATTTCTAAAGCACAGGTCTGACCATGTTACTTTCCTGCTCAAAAAGCTCCAGTGGCTCCCTATTGACTGTAGGATAAAATAGAAATTTCTGTAATTCAAATTCCTTTACAACTATTTCTGACCTTCATTTCTGGACTTATTCTGCATTACTCCACTTCATCTACTCTAAATGCTCCAGTCATACTGATCAGCTTGCTATTCTACATACGTAACACCCTATCTCTCGGTCCCCACATCTTTGCCAAGGCAATTCCCTCAAGACTGAAACACTCACTCCTAATTTCTGCTCTTAAGAATTAATTGCCTACTCACATAAATCATCGGCATTTCTATATAGTAACAACAAAGCCCAACAGCAAGAGACAGAAAGAGAAATCCCATTTAAACTTACTGTAGACATTACAAAATATTTAGGAGTCTACCTCCCAAAACAAACCCAGGAACTATATGAACACAATTACAAAACACTTTTCACACAAATAAAGTCAGATCTAAATAATTGGAAAAACATCAGTTGCTCATGGGTAGGGTGAGTTAATATAATAAAAATGACAATTCTGTCTAAGCTAATTTACTTATTCAGTGACATACCAATCAAACCACCAAAAAATTATTTTATAGAGTTAGAAAAAAATAATAATAAGATTCATTTGGAAGAACAAAAGGTCCAGAATATTAAGGGAACTAATGAAAAGAACTGCAGAGAAAGTGGCCTAGCCATTCTTAAATTGTATTATAAAGCAACAATCAAAACTGCTTGATTCTGGCTAAGAAATAAGAGTGGTGGATCAGTGGAACAGGTTAAGTATGCAAGACACAGTAGTCAATGACAATAGTAATCTATTATTTGATAAACCTAAAGACCCCAGCTTCTGGGATAAAAACCCACTCTGACAAAAACTGCTGGGAAAACTGGAAAAAAGTATGGTAGAAACTAGGCATAGATCAAAATCTCACAACATATACCAAAATAAAGTCAAAATAGGTTCATGATTTAGATATAAAGGCTGATGCTGTAAGCAAACTGGGAGAGCAAGGAATAGTTTACCTATTAGATTTATGGAGAACAGAAGAATTCATGACCAAATAGATGGAGATATTACGAAAAGCAAAATGGATAACTTTGATTACAACTGAAATTGTTTTTGCACAAATAAAGCCAACGCAACCAAGATTGGAAGGCAAGTAGAGAACTGGGAAAGAATTTTTACAATCAGTCTCTCTGATAAGACCCTCATTTCTAAAATATATAGAGAAATAAGTCACATTTATAAGAATACAAGTCATTCCCCAATTGATAAATGATCAAAGGATATGAACAGGCAGTTCTCAGAGGAAGAAAGTAAAGCCATCTATAGTCATATGAAAAAATGCTCTAAATCACTACTGATTAGAGAAATGCAAATCAAAACAACTCTGAGGTACCACATCACACCTATGAGATTGGCCGAGATGACAAAACAAGAAAATGATAAATGCTGGAGAAGATGTGGGAAAATTGTAACACTAACGTATTGTTGGTGGAGTTGTGACATGATCCAACCATTTTAGAGAGCAATTTGGAACCATGCCCAAAGGGCTATAAAAATGTGCGTACCCTTTAACCCAGCAACACCACTTCTAGGACTGTATCCCAAAGACATCATAAAAATGGGAAAAAGACCCATATGTACAAAAATATTTATAGCAGTTCTTTCTGTGATGGCAAAGGATAGAAATTGAGGGAATGCCCATCAATTGGGGAATGGTTGAACAAGTTGTGGTATATGAATGTAACGGAATACTATTGTGCTATAAGAAATGATGAGCAGGCAGACTTCAGAAAAACCTAGAAAGACTTGTATGGTCTGATGCTGAGTGAAGTGAGCAGAGCCAGAACAACATTGTACACAATAACAGCCCAAGTTGTGCGATGACTGATATTGATAAATTTAACCCTTCCCAGCAATACAAGGATCTAAGACATCTCCAAAGACCTCATGATGGAAAATGCTATTCACATCCAGAGAAAGAATTGTGGAGTTTGAATGCAGATTCAAGTATATTATTTGCTGTTTTTTTTTCTTCTGTTTAGTTTTGTTTCCTCTTTCTAGCAGTTCCTCCTATTGGTTCTAATTCTTACTTACAACATCACTAATGTGAAAATATGTTTAATAGGAATGTATATGTATAACCTATATCACACTGCATGATGTCTTGAGGAGGGTGGTGTGGAGGGAGGGGGAGAAAAATTTTAAACTTAAAAGCATATGGAAGTGATTGTTGATGAATCAAAATAAATTAATTAAAAAAAAAAAAGAATTGCCTAGCGGGGCAGCTAGGTGGCACAGTGGATAGAGCACCGACCCTAAAGTCTGGAGGACCTGAGTTCAAATCCGGCTTCAGACCAACCACTTGACACTTACTAGTTGTGTGACCCTGGACAAGTCACTTAACCCCAACTGCAAAAAAAAAAAAATTTGCCTAGTAACTAGACCCTAGCTCCACCCTCTAAAAGGATCAATGCCTTTTCTGATTCTCTCCCCCAAATGACAGGGCTTTCCTCCTAAAAAAAAAAAAAAATTTACTTTGTATTTATTACTTTTATATCTATTGTTTTCCCTGAGCTGCTCAAGGGTAGGGACCACTTTTAAGCTTTTGTCTTCATAACTCCCCCACCTAGCACAGTGCAGGGTACACATTAAGATGAACATTCATGGAATGATGATCCTTTCTCCTTTTCCATTTATTTTTTCCCAGGTACCCTTTTCAAAATCATTATAACACACAGCATTTAAGATGCAGAATGAAAAAGGAAGCACTTATTAGGTACCACAAAAGTAAACATCTATGTTACTCAAAAAGTTACAAGAGGAAGTCAAAAGATAAAGTGA